GATCACTTGAGGTCGGGAGTTCAAGACCAGCCTGACCAACATGGTGAAACCCTGTCTTTATTTAAAAAATAAAATAAAAATAGGGCCGGGCGTGATGGCTCACGCCTGTAATCCCAGCACTTTGGGAGGCCGAGGGGGGTGGATCACGAGGTCAAGGGACTGAGACCATCCAACCCAGGAGGCGGAGGTTGCCGTGAGCCGAGATCGTGCCATTGCACTCTAGCCTAGGTAATAAAAAAATTAAATTAAATTAAATTAAAATAAAATAAAAAGATTCAGAAAGAAACTCAACACTAAGACTTTTCCTAGAAAAATTACTAAATGTTAAGAATCAGTTGCATAACTAAAAAGGAGGTGAATGCTATTAATTTTTAAAAATTATTCTAAATTTTTTAAATTTTTCAATTAAAAAAAGAATGAAGAATCCCTAAGGAGTCTGAGAAAAAGCTGTCATAAAGGAAAAAATGTTTTAAATGTTACAAAATCCCCCAAAACAAACAAACATAAAAATAAATTTAAAAAGAAAACAGAGAAAAAGCAGTCACTTCTAAGGGACAGGTGGGGTGGCCTCACAGCTCTCCAATGGGGCCATATGTGGGAAGTGCTGAAGGGCAGGGCTGGGCATGGTGACTCACAACTTCATACCAGTGAATCGGAGGCTGAGGCAGGAGGACTGCTTAAGGATAAAAAAGAGGAGAAAAAACTAGCCAGGCAAAGTGGTATACACCTGTAGTCCTAGCTACTCGAGAGGCTGAGGCAAGAGGAGGGCTTGAATCCAGGCATGTGAGGCCGCAGTGAGCTATGAACACACCACTGCACTCTAGCCTGGGTAAGAAAGCAAGAGACCCTGTCTCTTAAAAAACAAAACAAAATCACGCCTGTAATCCCAGCACTTTGGGAGGCCAAGGCAGGTGGATCACAAGGTCAAGAGATCGAGACCATCCTGGTCAACATGGTGAAACCCCGTCTCTACTAAAAATACAAAACATTAGCTGGGCATGGTGGCGCGTGCCTGTAATCCCAGCTACTCAGGAGGCTGAGGCAGGAGAATTGCCTAAACCTGGGAGGCGGAGGTTGCAGTGAGCCGAGATCGCGCCATTGAACTCCAGCCTGGGTAACAGGAGCAAAACTCTGTCTCAAAAATAAATAAATAAATAAATAATAAACAAACAAACAACATAAACAAAAAACTCGAGGGGGGAAAAGCAAGGCTTGGAAATGTCCTACCTGCATGCTGTTGTCCAGCATAAACGTGGACATCGTGGGTGCAGCAGGTGGGTATTATGCATCTGTCAGTGTACAAACACTATTAAACGATAATCAGGGACACAGGAAAAAGTTTGTGGGTTCCTTTCCCTTGCCCAGTGGTTAATGCATACTAAGATGTTTAATTTAAAGAAAGAGGTTTAACAGTATAAAGGAAAGCACTGGAAGTACAAAAGCCACAGCAGCGCCAGCAAAACCAGAAAGCCTGAGGATGAAGGAGAACGTGTGTCTATCGAACAGTTTCAAGGCTTCATAGCTGATAATCAAAAGATATCATCCAAATGTATTAGATCACTAGATATTAAAACATGACAAGACAAATTCGTTAAAAGCATGACATTTCTCCCAGCTACTTGGGAGGCTGTGGTGGGAGAGGATTGATTTGAGCCGGAAGTCGAGACTGCAGGGAGTAGTGACCCTACTGCACTCCGGTGCAGGTAAGAATGAGAGACCCTGTCTCAAAAACAAAAAACAAATGGCATTTCTTTCTCTTTTTTTTTTTTTTTTTTGAGATGGAGTTTCGCTCGTTACCCAGGCTGGAGTGCAATGGCGCGATCTCGGCTCACCGCAACCTCCGCCTCCTGGGTTCAGGCAATTCTCCTGCTTCAGCCTCCTGAATAGCTGGGATTACAGGCACACACCACCATGCCCAGCTGATTTTTGTATTTTTAGTAGAGACGGGGTTTCACCATGTTGACCAGGATGGTCTCGATCTCTTGACCTCGTGATCCACCCACCTCGGCCTCCCAAAGTGCTGGGGTTACAGGCTTGAGCCACTGCGCCTGGCCGGCATTTATTTTAAAACAATTTTTTGTATTTTTTGAGACAGAGTCTCACTCCACCACCCAGGCAGGAGTGCGGGCGCATGATCTCAGCTCACTGCAACCTCCCCTTCCTGAGTTCAAGCGAGTCTCCTGCTTCACCCTCCCAAGTAGCTGGGATTACAGGTGTCTGCCACCACACGTGGCTAATTTTTGTATTTTTAGTAGAGACGGGGTTTCACCAGGTTGGCCAGGCTGGTCTCAAACTCTTGACTTCAAGTGATCCACCCACCTTGGCCTCCCAAAGTGCTGGGGTCACAGGCATGAGCCACCGTGCCTGGCCCAGCGTTTCTTTTGCTCATGAATCTGCAGACTGGGAAGACTGTTTCTCGGCTCAGCTTCTGTTGACCCCTCAGTGTCAAGTGGGATGGCTTGAAGGCTGGGGCTGGAAATGTTTACATCTTACCCACATGTCTGTGCCCGGGCTGGGAAGACTCCTGAAGCTGGGTTGGAGTAGGTGGGATCCCTGGGCATCCCTCTCTCCACGTGGAACTCGGTACACAGCCTCTCCAGTATGGTGGCTTCATGGTAACCAGTAAGATATGGGCTTACAATCTATTAAACTGGCAAATATGATGCCCACGGCAGGCAAGGATAGCTCTATTGCTGGCAAGGGTAAGCTGACTAAACCACTTGGGAGGGCAATTCGGCAATACACACCAAAATGCCAAATTCTGTGTGTTCTAATAATTCCACTGCTAGGAATTTACCTTTCAGATATAAACAAAAACTTACCAAAGCATTCTGTAGGAAAAGGTCCACTGCAGCCTTGAATATACCAGCAAATACTCTGAACACTCCGGTGTTCACCAGCAGGGACCATGCGGTGAAACAGTGGTTCAGACCTCACCGCCTCCCCGCTGATCCGGGACACCGTCAGCTATGGCCGGCACTCTCCAGCACCTCCCAGCTCACGGCTCACACCTGCTAGGGTCCTCTTCTCATCCCTTCTCCCATGCAACCAGTGCAACTTGGACTGTCTTTCACATCCATCCCATCACAGTTAAAACTCATCAGGGCGTCCCAAATTCCCATAAACCTCCATACACTCCGCTCCTTCAGCCTGATCCTGCACTGGACCCCAGCCTCCCCACTAGCCTTCCTGTAGCCTCTCCCTCTGCCACTTAGAGCCACAGGGTCTTTGCTCAGACTGTGTCCTCTGCCTTACTCTATTTCTCCTCTCCTCCTCCTGCCCTCAGAGCCGCTGGCCCGTCCCGACCCGGTCAGGGAAGATTCCACCCCCGCCCCCCGACCCTGCCCATTTCCTACTTCTAACAGTCGCCATTGTACGTTACTGACATGTGTCTTCCCTCACCAATCACCGAGTTTTACAATAGCGGAGGCTGTAGCTACACTGCCCTGGCACCTTGCAGTACCTAGCACATGACAGACACGCAAATACAGGTTGATGCGGGGGCCCACTGCATAGGAAACAGTGAGACAGAGCCACACATTCTGACACGGAAAGGCTCCTAACTGGAAACACGAGGTACAGGGCAGAGTGAGAGCTCTGCTACCTTTCACTTAATTAAAGCAGTTATCAAAACAGCTGCTTTACACAGGGCCATTATGGCTTCGCAGGCCAGTAACTCCATCAATTGCCCTAAGTTAAACAGAGAAAGCCCATGGACAGGGCTTGTTCCGGCCACGACAGGATTCAGGGACTGATTTATGCCACCAGGGTGTGGTGCCCTCTCCCCCCTGCCTGGGTTGGCCCCACTCTCGAACAGCTCTCCGCTCTGTGGACAGCACCTACAGCAGCTCCAGCTCCAGGTTCGAAATGGAGGGGAAACAAGAAACGCCTCTTTCAGGGCCCAGTACCCTAGTGTCGTAGATCACGCAGGCTTCATCCTGGAGTGGGCATGGTCTGGAGGGGGCGGGGACTGAGGGCAAATGTCCCACCCAAAGCAGAGAACTGAGAATGCAGAGAGGGTGGTTCTTTCGAGGGACATGTGAGAAGCTACCAAAATGAGGGGAAACAGATGCTATGGGCCAAAACAAGAACGCGTCACCGTGAGCTGGTAAATGTACCATTTTGGGCGGGTGGGTTGGGGGGTTGGACGGGGACAAACTGTTAGCAGCAGCTTCCACCGGGACAAGCTACGGGCAGCAAAAGAGGGATACACTTTTCACTTCGAACCGTCCTTTAACACTGACATTTTCTAACCATGTAATGTGCTATTTTTAATTTCTTCAAATCACAATTGAGGGTTTTTTTCCAAAGAATTTTAGTTCTTAGAAATGACATCTGTATATCAATGTTCTAACTCTTATTCAGAGTAGGCTCTAACATATGAACGGCAAAATCAGACATTAACGGCACCACGTCATGTTACTCCGTACAAAAGCACAGATTTAGGCACTTGATCAAAGAAAACTGTTTAGAAATAAATGAGGTTATTGAGTCTTCTGTCGCACTCTGCAAAGGACTCCCTACTCACAGCCTTTAAAATTGTTTCATTAAACGGAACATCTGACCCCCTGACACCCGCAGTACTTTCGTAAGTCAGGAAACAAAACAGAACCCCTAGCTTTACAGACCACATAAAACCCGACGGACACCAAGAGTTCTCTGTTACTGACAAGTACGATTCAAGTCAAAGAAATTCAAAACCACTTAAGATTTCCAGTACCGGATTTTTCGTTCTCTGCATTTCTTGCACGAGTTTTGGATTTATACACCCTGGCTTCCTGGCTACATATTTAGATATCTGAGTTCACAAAGCACATTTTACCTTTACCATAATGAAAATGATGTATATGGCATGAAGAGTTTGATTCAATTAAGAGTTTTAAAGTCTTCTCTCATCAGAATTTGCTATCCTTTTGGTTGACAGAAAATAAAAAACACGGACGCCCAATCAGAGCAGGTGCTGGGAGGGGAGTGGAATCTCAGCAGAGTCGATGACTCACCAAGTGTGAACGGGAAAAAGCCACACAGTCGCATTTCCATGTAAGGTGATTTTATAGTAGACATGAATTGGTCAGTGCGCAATATTAATTAGAAAACGTCTGTCTTCTCACTTGAAACCTATTAAACAGTAATTCTTTGACCACAAACGGGTCACGTGGTAGACCCTTTCTAGAAGAAACTAGAATGTCATCTGGTGTGCAGTTTCCTGAGACCACTCCCACCCCACGAGCTGGGCCAGGAGCCCTCCATGTCCATGTCTCTCCCCAGCACGCCACTGCTGCCCCATCACAGCTCTTCTCTTTTATTCCCAGCTCGACTGTCCTCCTTGGAAGCCCGAGATTTCAGATCGCCTTCCTTCTTCTTTTTGCCCTTGTCTTGCTTTGTCTTATTTTTCTCTTTGCTTCCTCCTCCTTTGCCAGGGTACACCTGGCCCTCCAGAGTTACATCAGCACACCTGTCTTGACTGACCAAGAAGTCCTTGATCTCCCAGGCGTAGCTCCCATCACGAAGCATGAAGATAGCACGGTCTGATCCCACAATGAACCTTGGGCAGAGAGATGCAATCATACAGTCAGCACATACTAGTAAGTGCTAATGGGTCAGAGCAATTCTCTGGCACTTACCAAGTTCATTTCAAATTCTACATGACTATGGAACGAAAAATTGGATTCTCCAGACTGATGTCTCATGTATGAAAATACTAGCTTGCTGAACTATTAAACACCCAGCTCAGATCAAAACAGAAGCAGACACTGGATGTTCCTTTGTGGTATAAAGGGATGCCCATGTTACGAGCGAGCATTTGGAAACCCTCCGTAGGACACTGTAGAGATAGCTCAGGGTCTCGGGCTGGGGAGACAAAGAGGCAGCTTCAATCTGATCTGTATCAGTTCTATATTCTAGAGTGTTCAGTTATAATCTTATGGGACAAAAGACTTCTGCTGATAAAGGCGGAAAACCAATGGCTTAGAGTGGGTCACAATAAGAGGCTGTGAAGGGCTCAAGATGACACTTGGCTATTGGACAGAAATCCTAGCCCCAGAGCTACCGACAAGCAGCCCAGCCCATCCACACCTGAAAGGTCCTAAGGAACAAAGCGGAACAGAATGAGGCCTGGGTGGAGCCAGTGGACATAATTCTTCTGTTCCTTGAAGACTACACTCTATGTTCCCCCTTCAGTTTAAAACACTCCCACCACACCACAGAGACCAGTGGGGCGTCCGGGGCAGACATCATCAAGACATTTATTTCTTCTCTCTAGGTGTCCATTTAAGCTAACTGAAAGCATTCTGCTAGCCAGACACTAAGTATTCCTCCCATTTCTTGTTATTACTTTTATATTTCCTAAACTAAAATATTTGCAGACCCCAAATTTCAGAACTGTTTTTGAGGAAAATGCAGCAGATTTCTTAAAATTATACCTCAGGACAATACTGAGCTGTGAAAACTGAGCCTTTTCATATTCAATTAGTTATCTGTTAACAGCATGGTCCGAGCTTTATGTGTGAACGTAGCTGTACACAAAAGCACTGTCTACCGAGCAGAAACTTCTAGAAGAAGCAAACTGTCAAACTATTAACGAGTTTGTCCCACAAAGAGGCTAAGTTATGCTATCCACCCTTCTGTTCAAATGAAATGAAAGCTAAAGATACAAAAATAAATAAAAATTTAGGATTGACTGAGATGTTAAAACACACACACACACACACACACACCAGGCGTGGTGGACCATGCCAGTAATCCTAGCACTTTGGGAGGTTGAGGTGCAAGGACTGCTTGAGGTCAGGAATTCAAGACCAGCCTGGGAAACATAGTGAGACCTCACCTCAACAAAAAATAAAAACAAACGTAATTGTTTTGACCAATAATAAATGCTCTTTTTTATATTAAAAAAACTAGACAGATAAATAAATTTAAAATAAAACCTAGAAAGGAAGGCTGAGATCCTTGGGAAATACTACCAGAACAGACACTTTGTTAGAGCCTCAGGAAAAGCCCCAGCACATGGCTGGGTGTGGTGTCTCAAGCCTGTAATCCGAGCACTTGGGGAGGCTGAGGTCAGGAGTTCAAAACCAGCCTGGCCAACATGGTGAAACCCCATCTCTACTAAAAATACAAAATTAGCTAGGTGTGGTGGCATGCACCTGTAGTCCCAGCTACTCAGGAGGCTGAGGCATGAGAATCGCTTGAATCAGGGAGATGGAGGTTGCAGTGAGCCGAGATCGTGCCACTGCACTCCAGTCTAGATGACAAGAGTGAAATTCTGTCTCAAAAAATCATTATCACCAGGTGCGGTGGCTCAAGCCTGTAATCCCAGCACTTTGGGAGCCCGAGGCAGGTGGATCACAAGGTCAAGAGATCGAGACCATCCTGGTCAACATGGTGAAACCCCGTCTCTACTAAAAATACAAAAAATCAGCTGGGCATGGTGGTGCGTGCCTGTAATCCCAGCTACTCAAGAGGCTGAGGCAGGAGAATTGCCTAAACCCAGGAGGCAGAGGTTGCGGTGAGCCGAGATCGCACCATTGCACTCCAGCCTGGGTAACAAGAGCGAAACTCCGTCTCAAAAGAAAAAAAAAATCATTATCATCATAATTAATAATAATAAAGAAAAGTCCCAGCACAGCCTGTGATTTTTCTCAGCTGTTGTTGGTGCTTTACCTCTGGACATCATAGTTCGCATTGAAAAGGCTGCCCTGCCAGAGGCTCGTGATTTCCTCCGTCTCCTTCTCAGTGGGGCTTCCTGATACGGTGACAAACATCATGAGAGTCTTCCCTTTCTTCGTCATCTGCAGTATGCTTTCAGGCTTGCTTGGGTCGATCTTTGAGAAGTCCACAGGCGCCGAGGGTCTCTTGTGCTCTGGAAGATCTCCTTCTTCGATGTCATCATCTTTCTATCAGGGTGGGGGAAGAGCATCAAACCTAGCATCAGAATCTTGCTTTTTAACTGGTACAGGCAAAAACACCTGCATATGATGTCAGGTGCGTGTATATGACTTAAATTACAATAGAGAAAGGACAACTAGGGAGGTTTCTTCCTCTTCTTAACTTTCAAGATAGTCTAAGTTTCAGGCAGCATATACTCCCCACACCCCAACTTACCAATCACAGGGCGCCCCCAAGTGGTGGGTTTCTAGAGCTTTTAAACGCTCATACAGTCTACCCAACGTGGTAGGCTATGGTAAAAATGGCCACATTCTGGTATGGTAATACAACGAAATACTTCACAGAAATAAAGAACAAATGCTGATACATGTAACAAATCCCAAAAATGTTAAGTGACAGAAGCCAGGCACAAAATAAGATTGACTATGTAATCTCATTTATTTAAAATTCAAGAATGAGCAAAACCAATCTAGGGTGACAGAAATTAGAAGTGTTGCCTGTGGAAGGGGACACAAAGTAGGATTAACTGAGAATGGACGCAAGATAACTTTTCTGGGGTGATGGAAATGTTCCGTATTTTGACAGGGATGTGGATTGCACAGACACATCCTTCTATAAAAATTTATGGCAGGCCGAGCACCGTGGCTCAGCCTGCAATCCCTGCACTTTGGGAGTCTGAGGTGAGAGGATCACTTGAGGCCAGGAGTTCGAGATCAGCCTAGGCAACACAGTGAGACTCTGTCTCTAAAAAAACACTTAAAAGTAGCCAGGCATAGTGAAGCACACCTGCAGTCCCAGCTCCTCAGCAGGCTGAGGTGGGAGAACTGCCCGCGCCCAGGAGTCTGAGAACAGCCTGGGTAACAGAGTGAGATCCCATCTCTTAAAAAAGATGAAAAAAATTAGTCTGGTGTGGTGGCAGATGCCTGTAGTCCTAGCTACTCAGGAGGCTGAAACAGGAGAATCACTTGAGCCCAGGAGATCAAGGCTGCAGTAAGCTATAATCGGGCCACTGCACTCCAGCCTAGGAGAAAGAATGAGACCCTGTCTTAAAAGAAAGAAAAGAAGAAATACTCCATCATTGCACTGTATGCTTAGAATCTGCACTCCATGTATACTCATTTCACTTAATAGGCATTGTACAAAAATATTCAATTCCAGTTAGCAGGTTTGCTTTCTGGAGCGGCATGGACCAGCAATTCTGAAACTATCTTATGTGATCTCTAGGACTGAGAAAAGGAGTAAACATTTTGAGGATAATGGGAGCCAGGTTCTTAATTTCTGAGAAGGAAGTTATAAATATGAAAGGGGGAGGAATGAGCCGTGTGGTATGAGGCTGGAAATGAAGGCATTAGGAGAAACTCACGGTTTTTCACAGATTAGCAGATGAGTAAATAGATAGATGAATGGATAAACATATTTAAAAGAGACTGGGTTCCTTGGAGAACAGGCTTGCCAGAAGGGAGACAGAAGATGAGCCTAAAATAATCCTGCATTACAAAGTAGTGAAGTGCTCAAAGAATCGTGGAGCATGTCCACAGGACACAGAGGCCAACCTGAAGCAGCTCTCATGGGCCAAATTTAAAATAATCTCAACATCAAAATAAATAATAGTTTGACTTACAACCTGTCAAACAAAATGAGATGTTGAACCCATACTGATCAAAACAAATGAATATATTACTAACAGAGAACAGCAACTTTTTTTTTTTTTTTTTTGAGACAGAGTCTCATTCTGTCATCCAGGCTGGAGTGCAGTGGCATGATCTCAGCTCACTACAATCTCTGCCTTACGGGTTTCAAGTGATTCTTCTGCCTCAGCCTCCTGAGCAGCTGGGATTACAGGCACGTGCCACCATATCCAGCTAATTTTTGTATTTTTAGTAGAGATGGGGTTTCACCATGTTGCCAGGATGGTCTCGATCTCCTGACCTCGTGATCTGTCCACCTCGGCCTCCCAAAGTGCTGGGATTACAAGCATGAGCCACTGCACCTAATAAATAGAACACAGACTGACAAATAAAAAATCTTTAAAAGAACCAGGTTCTGCCAGTAACCAAAAGAATGAACAACTGGCTGGGCACGGTTGCTCACACCTGTAACCTCAGCACTTTAGGAGGCCAATGCTGGAAGATCACCTGAGCCCAGGAGTTTAAGACCAGCCTGGGCAACGTATCAAGACCCCATCCCTACCAAAAATGAAAAGCAAAAAGAAAAAAAGAAATGAAGTACTGATTGATACATGCTATAACACAGATAACCCTTGAAAATACTATGCTAAGCGAAAGAAGCCAGATATGAAAGACTACAGATTCTGATTCCATTTATAGGAAATGCCCAGAATAAATAAATTTGTTGAGACAGAAGGTAGATTAGTGATTGCCTGGGGTGGCCTAGAGGGTTGGGAGAAAACAGGGGAGGAGTGGTTGAAGGTTTTTTTGGGGGTGATAAAAATGTTCTAAAATTGATTTTGGTGATGGCTGTACAACTCTGTGAAGATACCAAAACTAAAATATACATTTATACATTTCACATGGGTAAATTGCCTGTGGCATGTGAACTCTTCCTTAGTAAAGCTGTTACTAAAAAAAAAAAAAAAAAAAAAAAAAAGAAGAAGGCCGGGCGCGGTGGCTCAAGCCTGTAATCCCAGCACTTTGGGAGGCCGAGGCGGGTGGATCACGAGGTCAAGAGATCGAGACCATTCTGGTCAACATGGTGAAACCCCGTCTCTACTAAAAATATAAAAATTAGCTGGGCATGGTGGCACGTGCCTGTAATCCCAGCTACTCAGGAGGCTGAGGCAGGAGAATTGCCTGAACCCAGGAGGCGGAGGTTGCGGTGAGCCGAGATCGCGCCATTGCACTCCAGCCTGGGTCACAAGAGCGAAACTCCGTCTCGAAAAAAAAAAGAGGCCCCTAAGTCACTCTTATTTGGTCCTTCTGACCAATCTCAAAGGCCCAAGGCTTATTAAGACACCATTAATAATGTACTATATTAAAAATAATTTTAGTAATAAGTAAAAAGGAAAGAATTCTACACAGTGCTTGAAGGTGATCCATGCGGACATCAGACCTGGGAGCTGGTTTCAGTTCTGCATTACTAGTCGCGTGACCCTGCCTACAATTAATTCCTGACTCCTCCAGGCCTGTTTCCTTGTCTACAAAATGAAAAGCAGACCGAAGTGATCTCCAAGGTCCCAGAACCACACGTAACATCCCAACCTTCTTCTCAAACTCCGCCTCTCAACTGACGTGTTTCTTCCTCATTTTGCTTTGAAAGAGCCACTGCAGGTGACCTGCAGGCAGGAGCATGGGCTATGCTGTCAGATGGATGTGCTCCATACTTACGTGGCCTTGGGCAAGTTACTTAGCCCATCTGAAAATAACCTTCCCTACCGATAATGGGAAGGTGGGGGTAATAACAGCATCTCCCTCCTGAGGTTTGTTTGGGAATGTAATGACTTAAAGGCAGACAGTACTCAGTACTCTGTCTGTTGGCTACGACACTGCTGACTCCTTAGCCCTCTGTGATCTGGCCTCCAGTCACAAACACAGCATGGAAATTACATTCTCAAAGTCACGAAGGACCTCCTACTTGCCAAATTCACAGGTTGTTTCTGTCTTTATCTTAATTCTCCATAACCTCTGTTATAGTCTCTTTAAAACACTTCAAGACTTCTAGTTGGTTCAATACTCTAGAATATTTGTATTTTTCATTCTTTTTTTTTTTTCCAAGATGGGGTTTCACCATGTTGGTCAGGCTGGTCTTGAACTCCCGACCTCAGGTGATCCACCCGCCTTGGCCTCCAAAGGGCTTGGATTACAAGCGTGAACCACCACGCCCAGCAGAATATTTGTATTTTTCAGACTAATTTCACTAATAATCATGAAATTAACTTAGTAGGTCCCAAGCAGCATGTTTTTTTGTTGGTGGTGATGGTGGTGGTTTTGTTTTGTTTTTTTGAGATGGGGTCTCACTCTATCACCTAGTTTGGGGTGCCGTGCTGCTGGTGCAATCGTGGCTCACTGCAACCTCTGCCTGCCAGGCTCAAGTGATCCTCCTATCTCAGTGTCCTGAGTAGCTGGGACCACAACCGCACACCACCAGGCCCAGCTAATTATTATTATTATTATCTTTTTTTTGGTAAAGACAGGTTTCATCATGTTGCCCAGGCTGGTCTCACACTCTTGAGCTCAAATGATCCACCTGCCTCAGTCTTCCAAAGTGCCGAGATTATAGGAGTAAGCCACTAAGCCCAGCCCAGAATTCTTATATGTCTGTGTGTGTTTCAGTTACAGGAAAAAAAAAAAAAAAAAAAGATTACTAAATAGTACCCTAATGAAGCTGGAGGACGTTATGTTAAGAGCAATAAGACGGACACAGAAAGACAAATACTGCACATTCTCATTCTTATGTGGGACCTAAAATAGTTGCGTTCACCGAAGCAGACATGACAACTGTGGTTACTAGAGGCTGGGAAGGGCAGGGGAGATAGGGAGAGAGGATGGTGAATGGATACAAAATTACACCAGATAGGAAGAATAAATTATGGTGCTCTACAGTATTGCAGGATGACTAGAGTCAACAATAATTTATTGCATATTTTCAAACAGCTAGGAGAGAATTTTAAATGTTCCCAACAGAAAGAAATGATGAATGTTTCAGGTGACAGACACGCTCATTACCCTGAATTGCTCGTTACACATTGAATACATGTGTAGAAATACAACTCTGTACCCCATAAAAATATATTATTATACGTTAATTAAAACTGAGGCGTAAAAAAAAGTACCCTAGATGCACATAATTATCCAGTTCTACCCTCAGTCTGGGTAATCTAACCTATTATGATCAGTGTGTCTATGCTGAAAACAACCCAATCTTTACCCTGAAGCAGAGGTGGGGCCTGGGACAAGTCAGGCAGTCCCAACTCCAGTCCTCGCCCTGCCTCCAGGCCAGTCTTGCATTTTCAGCTGGCTTCATAACTCCTTCATTACTGTTTGTCAAAGTCAACAGCTACAAAGCTGAGCTCCCCTTTCTGCAAATCCTCTTCTTCCTCTCATGGTTTAAATATCAATAGTTAAATGCTATCCATTGAGTAACTACTTAGTCCCAGGCACTCTACACACACATACATATATATATGTATACACACACACACACATATATATATAAACATATATATATATATTTTTTTTTTTTTTTTTTTTTTGAGATGGAGTTTCGCTCTTGCTACCCAGGCTGGAGTGCAATGGCGCGATCTCGGCTCACCGCAACCTCCACCTCCTGTGTTCAGGCAATTCTCCTGCCTCAGCCTCGTGAGTAGCTGGGACTACAGGGACGTGCCACCATGCCCAGCTAATTTTTTGTATTTTTTTTAGTAGAGATGGGGTTTCACCATATTGACCAGGATGGTCTCGATCTCTTGACCTCGTGATCCACCCGCCTTGGCCTCCCAAAGTGCTGGGATTACAGGCTTGAGCCACTGCGCCCGGCCTGCATTCTACATATATTATCTCTAACCTGCAGAACAATCCTACTAGGCCTCCATTTAATATCCCAGGAAGATGACACTGGGAGAGGATAAATGATTTACTGTATTTATTCACATGCAGAAGTGCAAACCACATTTCTGGATCCAAATTCCTCCATCGAACCCTTCCTATTATACCTGGCTATCCTAACGTAAAACGAAATAACCACCACTGGCTTTTCTACACCAATTGAAACTCAGAATTAGTTCTAACACAATGGAAGGAATTCGTACCTTTTCTACACACATCTGAGGCACAGCCTCTCACCGAAGCACTGATTCTCACACTACTGGGGAAGGAATGAGGGTATGGATTTAGAGATCATCACAGAGGAACAACTGCTTCCTATAAAAAAGCACCCACAGAGATGGATATGCTCTCCCACATAAAAATCACTGCTACTGGGGAAGGGAGCTTATGTCTGCAGAGTGTCTACAAACATTAGCTCATTTAACAATCCACCTGGCACCCTGGAAAGTAGGGCGTTATCTGGCTTTACAGATATATAAAACTAACATCAAGCAGCTAGTGAGGGGGTAACGCTGAGTTCAAAATCTGTCCCTTTTTTTTTTTGGAGACAGAGTATTGCTCTGTTGCCCAGGCTGGAATGCAGTGGCATGATCTCGGCTCACTGCAACCTCTGCCTCCCGGGTATAAGCGATTCTCGTGCCTCAGCCTCCACAGCAGCTGGGATTACGGGGGGGCCGCCACCAAGCCCAACTCATTTTTTGTATTTTTAGTAGAGATGGGGTTTCACCATGTTGGCCAAATTGGTAAAGTGCTGGGATTACAGGCATGAGCCATCACGCCTGGCTAATCTGTCTTTTTACTACATTATGCCACCCTGCTGGTCACAAAATCAATCAACCACCCAGGCATGGTGCTTCACACCTGTAATCCCAGCACTTTGGGAGGCCAATGTGGGAGGATCGCAAAGGCCAAGCAAAAACAGCCCTGCCAACATAAGGAGACCCTGTTTCTGTAAAAAATAATTTAAAAAAAAAAATCAACCATCAAGTCCTGTTAAAAGTATACAAAGCCGGGCCAGGTGTGGCGGCTCAAGCTTGTAATCCCAGCACTTTGGGAGGCCGAGGTGGGTGGATCACGAGGTCAAGAGATCGATACCATCCTGGTCAACATGGTGAAACCCTGTCTCTACTAAAAACACAAAAAATTAGCTGGGCATGGCGGCGCGTGCCTGTAATCCCAGCTACTCAGGAGACTGAGGAAGGAGAATTGCCTGAACCCAGGAGGCGGAGGTTGCGGTGAGCCGAGATCACGCCATTGCACTACAGCCTGGGTAACAAGAGCGAAACTCCATCTCAAAAAAAAAAAAAAAAAGTATACTAAGCTCTCACATTTCTCTCTTCTCCTCCGCTCCTGTAGTTTCTAGCTTAATCCACGTCTTCCTCACTACCCTTCATTTGCACTTCAGTTCAGCAACATGTATGGCAGTACAGGTAAAATGGTTCAAAGAACAGGCTCTAAAGCCGTGACAGAATGTGAAACTCAGCAATTGCTGTGTGATGTGGCGCAAGGTATTCAACGTCTTTGTGCCCTTAATGTTATCATTTAGAAAACAGGGATAAGTACCTCCCTCATGGATGGGGTAAAAGGATTATTAAATGACATAATATGTTTTGTAGGGCTTCAAAGCCCGTCCCTGCTCATCTCTCCTGTAATCTACTGTTCCCAGTGTAGTCCTTGTTCATCTCTGCAGCACCCTCTTCGTCTAGCTCAGGGTCTGAGTAGGTTCAGGGGAGGATTTTTCATGAGATGTTAGCACTCTGGTAGATCAAAAGGCTTTATTTGCTGGAGTCCAAAAAGAGACAAGGAGATTGCAAGGGAGACGGTGAGTGGGGAAGTTCTCCCTACACTCAAATGTACCCCAATCTTTCCCTCAGCTGCTGATAAAGCAAGCCTGCATTCCTCTAGTCAGATGCATCAGGTGGGTATTTTAAACTTGTATCTGAAAGTCTTTCCCTCCTTCCCCAACACACACAGAGATAATCACAAAATAACAAAACATCAGGGTTGGAAGGAATCTTAGGAATCGGTAAAACCTCCTCACGTGGCAGATAAGGAAACTGAGGCCTAGAAACTAGACATAACCTGCCCAAGGTTATACAGCTGTGCAAGTCTACAAGAACAGTACAAGCACCTTAGGAAGAGAAAAGGCAGCAATGTGGTTTCAGCCAGTGATCTTTACCTTAAAAGCTTATGACACACTCCCTGTAACTGCACACGCCACTGCATCCAAGTGACAAACCAGAAAACTTACTCTCCTCTGAACAAACAGCGTTGAGTTCCACGATACAGAGCCACTAGCCATTACTACTTCTCCCACCAGTAAAATAAATCCACCCACAAAAATCACAAAATTCCCAGCAGGGACATATACCAAAATAGGAAGTCTAAATTCTACTGATTGAGAAGACGGCTGAGATAACCATCAAGGAAGATCATCTTCACCGCAACCCACTCACCCACCCACTCACCCCACAACAAAAGGAAAATGAAAGAAACGTTCCTTAGTAGAGTGGGAAAGGTCTCTCTCCCCGTTTGCAGGGCTCGCTGACTGCAAGGATCAGCGCAGAGACAACCAGGGCACTGAAGCGTGATAGGAGAGCGAGGCTGAACAGAGAGGGGCTGACCCATGACTGGAGTGGCTTGAGAAGTGACGGGGAACAGGGCCCTGGAATGAAAGAGGGCTGGAGCGAGGGTCAGCAGGGCGCGGAGGGCAGAGAAAGAACGGAGGGTCAGCAGTGGCTTCAGTGGGTCAGTAAGGATTCAAGGCATGAATAGAGGGGGTTAAGGGGTCAGAAAGGGCCCCAAACGGAATGGGTCAAGGGTCAGTGGGAACAGGGTCCGGGAGAAAGAAGAGCCGGGAGGGTGCGCGCGCGCCGCGGACCTCCCACTGCTCCAGAAGACGCGCCATGTCTGCATCATTGTAATCGCGAATATCCTTCTTCTTCTTCCGGGGAGGTGGGGTAGACTCGTCGGGCGTCCCGGGCGAGCCTTCGGCCGTGCAGGCCCCAGGCGGTGGTAGCGGTAGCAGCAGCAGCAGCAGCAGCAGCAGTTCAGCGGCACAAAACAAGACCACGGCCCTGCGCGCCCAGCTGGAGGCCGCCATGTTTGCCGCGCCGACCCGACCTGCGCGGGCGCCCGGGCCCCGCCCCCGGCCGCCTCCCGCCCCGCCTCCCCGCGGCCCCGCCTTCCGCCCGCGCCAGCCTACCGGGCCCCGCCCCGTCCCATTTCCTCGGCCCCGCCTCCGGAAGCCCCGCCCCCGCCCTCTTGGCCCCGCCCACAGGCGTCTCTCCTCGGTCCGGCTGGGCGGGCGCCCGCGTGCTCTTTTTCATTTTCTGTCTCAGGCCGACCTTTTTCTCTAGAACGCCCAGGCCAGGTCCAGATGTTCCTTCAGAGCCTCCAGGAACTGGTAACCGGCGTCCCTGGAGACCGCGGTTTCTCGCCTGTGAAATGAATTGGAAATGGAAGTTTTGGAGGCTGCCTCAGCTCTCGAAAAGCCCATTTCTGGATGTCTTTATCCTCAGCCTCTTGCAGTTTCCTTTGAGAACAGCCAGTTAAAAAAAGTTAGTGGCAGGTAGGGCAGCTTTTTTCAGAACGGCATAAATAGGTCGGGCCCACTCTTTCCTCATCATTAGAGAGGATTCCGTTCAATCAGATTTTAGGATTTGTCGTCTCCTAAACTTGAAGAGTTTTTTGTTTTTGTTTTTTTTTTCATAAAGATCATTACTATTCATTAAAAAGAAAGCTTGCCTTTCTTTGATTTCAACCTAATACTGTAGGTTCTGACGAATCCTTTTCAAGGCTGAATCACACTGCTTTTTGTTTCTTAAAAAGATTCTGGCCAGAGATGCTTTGAGATTCTTCTTGTTTCAAATCTGAAATCAGATTTCAGCTGATGTCTTTAAAACGTTTAATTACATAAGAAGACCTTTAAAAAACAAAACAAAAAAGGCCGCACAGTGGCTCACGCCTGTAATCCCAGCGCTTTGGGAGGCTGAGGTAGGACGATAATTGGAGTTCAGGAGTTTGAGACCAGACTGGGGAATAAAGCAAGTCCTCATCTCTTTTAAAACAAACAAACAAAAAAACCCTTTCGTTCTTTATAGTGCTACACAGTTTTATTTGGTGGTGTTATATTAAGTTATTTTCCTATTGATGGGCATTCACTGCCAATTTTTCCACTATTACTACAAAAAGCTATAGTAAACCTCCTTATTCAAGCCTTGTTTGGATAGGATTAGTAGGCTACATATAAAAGAAAACTGACTTGTAAAAGTGGCTTAAACAAGATAGATGGTTTTGTTGTGATTTTTTTCTTTCACAGAAGCAGTGGAAACTTGAATTTACGGCTGGTATGGTGGCTCCTCAGCCATCTGGTACTCAGCCTCTTCCTCATCCTCCTGTCATATTGGCCTGTGACTTCCACCATCAAGGTCACAAGTTTCCGGATGGCTTCTGGAGCTCCAATCATCAAGATGACATTCAACCAGAGGAAGGGAGAAGGAAGGTAGGCCCAACCAAGCACACCTTTCAAATGGAGTCAATTTCTTTAAGCACCCTACTTGAACATTGCATACATTTCTGTTTACATCTCACTGGCTGGAACGTAGCTCTCCAAGGAAGGCTGAGAAATAGTCTTCTAGCTGTAACACTGTCAACTCAAATAAAATTAGGATTCTATTATAAAAGGGAAAGAATAAAGGGGAGGTTGAGTAGGCAACTACGCCTGCCCTTCACGCTTAGGACCAATGCAATTTAATTTCTCACACTGTAGGAGTGGCTGATATTCTACATATTCATGCATGCATCTGTATGTAAATTTGCTAAGCTATGACCTTTCCTACTGACATTGAGCAGAAACAACTCATAAGAAAAAGATTTTTTTCTTTTCTTTTGTGAAATCATAGGGGAAATGTCATGAGCTTTCTCCCCAGAGCACATTGCTCCACCCAGTGGCTTGGAGCCCTATCCTGGTGCAGTCATACTAAAAAACATGCACAGCTGTAGCCCATCATGTGCTCTCTGTTGGGAGGAGTCACCCTGGTAATTCATATTGCCAGCTTCAAAGCTAAGGGGCAAAAGTGCTGGGATTCTTGGCCCACAATATCTGGAATAAAATCATTGAAAGTTTTACAGAAATTGTTGGAAATGTGTAGAAAGTTTCAGGGCTACTGACTTTTTCTCTAAGGAGGAAATCAATTCAGTATATAATCCACTGAGGTGAAAACATCTGGATCAATTGCATTTTCAATATTTGGACATTCGAAACTTAGTGTTTAGAACTTGATTCCACTCAACTCCAGGGGGGATTTTATTTACTAAGAACCTACTGTTAACCAAGAATCAGGTGAAGCACTGATGCAAAAATGAATATAATGAGAGTCTTACTCTTGGAATTTTGGACTGGTAGAGCAGATAAACAATATGCAGTAAATTTCATGCAGATTACAGGAGATCCGGGCCCAAAGGGATGATGTGATGATAATGATAATGTCCCCATTTAAAATAAGAGGAAATCCTGGTTATAGAATTACACAATTTGTCTGAGGTTGCACAGCTAGTGCAGGGGCAAGGCAAGAATCTGAGCCACGGTGTACAGGACAACAAGGTCCAGTCTTCCGTGGAGTCCTTCTTCCACCACAGCACGATCTAGGTTAATCAGTGAGGCACTCAGGAGAGTGAAATTGGGAGCCACATGGAAAATGGACTGAAAAGTCTGGAGCCAGGAGCACTCAGATGGGACAAGAGTCTGTACCAGGTCCCAGGTGGTGCAGTACAGGCTGGAGAGGACAGATGTGAAAAACTGTGTGGTCATAGCCTAAGTAAAGCCACGAGTCTCTTCAGTGCTCTGGGAATAATACTCATCCCACCTGTAAGTGATTCAGTTGACTGTGGATGATAAAGCTGAATCTCGGATCTAATTAGGGTCTTAACCTGAGCTCATTCTGGTATGCATGATTCCACAACAGAGGAGGGTGAAGCAAGACTTTCTAGCACTATTTGGAAGCAGGCAGGAGTAATATTCAAAATATTTAAAAAACGGAAATAGCACAATTACCAATTAATCAGAAATGAGGTGCATGAGCTGATGGGTGCAGTCCCCGTTTTGCCAAACATTAACCCTCTAATGACTGACTCATGGGAAGGCATAGGAGGAGGGACCTGGGGATTCGGTGATAGAGGTAATGAATATTTACCATTCTGCACGTTAGCTGCTTTTTAATCCAATGTAAGAACAGAGGTACTGCATATTTCCTGGGTTTTGCAAGCCCCTAAATTTGCTCACTTAAAAAATTTAGCCGGGTGTGGTGGCTCAAGCCTGTAATCCCAGCACTTTGGGAGGCCGAGGCGGGTGGATAATGAGGTCAAGAGATCGAGACCATCCTGGTCAACATGGTGAAACCCCGTCTCTACTAAAAATACAAAAAAATTAGCTGGGCATGGTGGCACGTGCCTGTAATCCCAGGTACTCAGGAGGCTGAGGCGGGAGAATTGCCTGAACCCAGGAGGCAGAGGTTGCGGTGAGCCGAGATTGCGCCATTGCACTCCAGCCTGGGTAACGAGCGAAACTCTGTCTAAAAAAAAAAAAAAAAATTTAATTAAATAGAAAGACACGAATCATTCATTATAGTTGTTAAATATTGGTAGCAACCAACTGGTTGCCTTTTGTTACAATTTCACATTTTCAGTAGAGAGTGTGATTGGTCCAGTCTAGGGCAGGTGTCCATTCCTGGTCACCACCAGTATTTGTGAGCAGAAGAGCATACTCACAGAGTTAAACATAATAATTAAAATTCGTGTTTTCCTGGCTGGGTATGGTGGCTCATGCCTATAATGCCAGCACTTTGGGAGGCTGAGGTAGACAGATCACCTGAGGTCAGGAGTTTGAGACCAGCCTGGCCAACAGAGTGAAACCCTGTCCTACTAAAAATAGAAAAATTAGCTGGGTATCATGATGTACACCTGTAATCCCAGCTACTCAGGAGATTGAGGCAGAAGAATCGCTTGAACCTGGGAGGTGGAGGTTGTAGTGAGCCAAGATAGTGCCATTGCACTCCAGCCTGGGCAACAGAGCGAGACTCTATCTCAAAAAACAAAACAAAGACTTATGTTTCCCAAACACCATGAAAAACAGTTAAAAGGCAAACAATAAAGTGGGAGGCAAGCTGCATCATGGCAATATATAAAAATATCTTATAAATCAATAAGAAAAAAATGAACACCCAAATGAAAAATGGGCAAAGACATGAATAGGCAATTCCCAAAAGAATAGATATAAATGGCCAATTCACATATGGCAAAAACAAAACAGAGAATCTCCCTAGTATCAAAAAAATGAAAATTCAAACATGTTATAATTTTTAAATTATCAGTTGGTACTGGGTAAAAATACAGACAGCATACACTGTTGGCAAAGCTGAGGAAATAAGCCTCATTCACTTCTTGAGAGATGGAGTTTTCTGCTTGAAAATTAGGTGAAATGTATCAACCTCCTGCCTATCCCCACAAGCAAGTGCATAATTTGATTAGCAACTCCACTTCCAAGAACTTGACTCTGAGAACATGGACAATGAAAATAATAGTAATGATAATAACATTGAGCACTTACTATGTGACAGGCACTCTTCTGAATGTTTTACGTGTATTTCTTCACTTACCCATTGTAACAATCCTATAGCTCTCTCCGTAAGTGGAGAAGACAAGAACAATTCTAAGTGTTTCAAAAATAGTTGATTGTAAAATCCACATTTACAGTTGCAAGCTGTAGTTCACACATACAATGGATAATATGCAATCATTAAATATAGATATATATTTGTTGTTACTAAAGATGTTCACTTTATACTATTAAGTGATTTTAAATACTATTAAAATTATGCAGATATATATCTGTGTATAGGAAAACAGCTGCAAATCTGTAAAGATGGCTGTCTCTAAGCAGTGAGATTCTAAAACATTTTAACCTTTTCTCTGTATCTTCTATTTTTTTTTTTTCACATCTAACATACTTCAGTTGTGGTGTGATTTTGGTTTTGTTTGTTTGTTTTGAGACAGGGTCTTGCTCTGTCACCCAAGCTGGAGTGCAGTGACGTGATACTGGCTCACTGCAACCTCCACCTCCCAGGTTCATGGGATCCTCCCACCTCAGCCT